TGAAGGAAGTAGAAACAAAGAGCAAAAAGCAGATTAGTCATTTCAAAGTTTGCTTGTAAGGTGGGGACAAGACAATAGAAAAATAACATTATTTAACATCAAGTTATTCCTTTTGTGTAAGGATTTAAGCAGAGGGAACTTCGTTGTCATGTGTATTGAAGATTTAAACTGGCCTGTTTTGGAAATTGGCTGTTATCTCTCTCCTGATTTCTGAGAAGGTCAGATCACAACTTAGTTTAGGTTTGGTGATGTGGAACTTAGCAGGGGTGACTCCATTTTGATTTTTAGTCTCGTATGTTGGGGCCCAGTGAAGAAACTTAGTCCTAAACAATGTCTTCCTATAATTTTTATTTTACAACTATATCTTCAACTTTTCCTGGTAATAAGAATCACCTGTGGTAACATGTGCAAACACTGATTCCTGGGCTGCCTCCCTAGGAGCTTGTGATCTGGGTGGTTGTGAAATGTCTCCTGGGCTGCCCTATCACCTCCTGCTCAAAGCAAGGAGGTTGAGTCCCTCCTTCCAGCTCATTGGTCCTCTCTCCCCTCTGTTCGTCCCCTACTGGTTCCCTGCCCTTGGTGGCCTGGTCCCCCAAACCACCTCTTTCCCAAAAGACTTTCCTTCTCAAACCCCTGAGGATCTCAGCTCTGCCCACCATTCAGGCCTCCTTCAGCTGTCTTTTTCCTTATTCTCCATAGCAACAGCTACAGAAATGTGGCCTGTGGACTGACAGGTTTCCTTTGCCCTCTAGATTTTTAGAAATTGGAAAATTAAAAACATTTATAGCTTGCTAATTTCTTTTTTAAAAAGAGGCCCTTTAGCCTTGGTAGAGGTTGCGCTTGGGCAGGAACCAGTGGAGCTGGGGGTTGGTGGCTGGGCCCTTTGCCAGGCTGGGGTCTCCAGTTCCACATAGTCCTAACCACTATTTCACAGACTCCCCCTGTACTCATTTTCTTCACCTCTCTTGCCCTTGGGATTTTGAGCCAGGACCGACCTTTTGGGACATGTGCTGCTCATTTCTCTGCCTGTCTGCCAAGCCCTTTCCCACCGAGTGCTCTCTGCTCTGCCTCTCAGAATCATCCCCATCATTCCACATCCACTCCCATCCTACGTGCTTTGTAAACCCCTCCTTCTGCCTCCTCCCACAGCCCCCAGAAGTGCCTGCCTTCCTCCCGAACACTTATCTCGTCTCCATCCAGTTGTTTATAAATGCCTTCCAGTGGCATGAACTGTGGTTCAGAACTCTTGTGTAGATGGAGATTTTCTGTCTCCTGCCTCCTCTCTATATTACATAATACATCTTTCTCCCTACCTTTGATAGGGCTTAGGCACAGCCAGTAGCTGTCTTGGATGGGGTGGGAATTCCAGCAACATACCTGATTAGCCTTCAAAGCAAAAAAGTTCTGCTTTTTTAAAGTTCTGATGGAATTGTTCCTTTGTGCTAAAATAGACTATCACTAATTTTCCCCATTCATTTGGTAGGAGAGCATCACTGTTAGGAGAACAGGCTCTGAAGTCAGGCCTGCCCTGCCACTGAATATTTGTGTGACTCTAGGCAAAGTGCTTAGCATCCCTAAGCCTCAGTTTCCTCACATTTATCTTTTTTTTTTTTTTTTTTTTTTAAAGATGACCGGTAAGGGGATCTTAACCCTTGACTTGGTGTTGTCAGCACCACGCTCAGCCAGTGAGCGAACCGGCCATCCCTATATGGGATCCGAACCCGGGGCCTTGGTGTTATCAGCACCACACTCTCCCGAGTGAGCCACGGGCCGGCCAGTTTCCTCACATTTAAAATGGGTGGTTGTGGGAAGAAAATGAGATGACGCGTGCGCAGCATTTAGTCCAGTGGCTGGAACGTGGTAAGGGCTCAACAAAGAGTAGCTGTTGCTATCTCATTCTGAACTTCATGCCAGGTTGCTGGCTGGCTGCTGGGGCTCCAGGATAAGTAAGATGTGGTTGGCCCTCAAGGAATGTTTGTCCCAACCAGATCTGAGGTGGCCTCAGAGGTCAAGTACCAACACACATAGGGGTCTGCCATAATTGTTGAGCATAGAACACAATTGTTGAGCACAGAGGGTGTACATGGTCAGGGAAGGCTTCATGGGGGTGGTGACTGAGTGGAATGTCATGCTAAGCAGCTGCAGAAGCACTGAGGAAGAAAGACATAGGTCACTTTAGGGATAACATTGGGGGTGGGAAGGGTTGGTGGCAGGATGTGCTGTTAGGTAGAGAGGCCAGACCAGGGCCCCTCTGGAGCCCTGTAGTGTAGAGCTGGGGGAAAGCAAACCCAACCACAGTCAGGTAAAGAACACACCAAAAACACCATTGTCACATGGGTAGCCCTCCATAACCACCGTAGTTGCCACAGCTGCCACAAGAGTGGCTAGTCTCTATAGCAGCAGTCACAGCCACCGTGCAGATGGCACGCCAGACTCTCACCTTCATTGACACAGGAGAGGCACCAGCGGAGACCCCCCCGCCAAAAGAAAGAGGTCCTCTCGCTCCACAAAGCTCCTCCAGAGTAACAGAAGAAATATCTGATTTATGATGCTGAGACAGTCTCAGTACTGGACAGATCATCTGGGCAACACACCAACAGAGGAACAGTTAATCTATCAGATGGAGAGAACAAATCTATGGTTATTAGAAGGGGGAGGGGGAAGAGGCAAGATTGGAAAGGGGCATAAAGAGAATAAGTATGATTTGTAACAATGAATATGCTAATAAAATTTTTTTTTAATTTAATCAGGTAGACTGTATTTTATCTGGCAACCCTACTTGTGTGCCTGGGTCCCAAAAGACCCTGTTAAAACGGAGATAGGTTTCAGTCACAAGAGGAAGAATCTTGTTAACTTAGATTTATTTTTCAGAGTAACATGAAAAGTGAAATGGGACATAAAGTAGGTCAGTTGAGGGGTTAAAGAGCGTGGGCAGATGGGGGGACAAGGAGAGCAGGACACAGCAGGGGCCTGTTTGGGCAGGTGGTAGGAGAAGGCCTGGAAGAGGACTGGCTCCATAGTGTAGCTTGGCAAAGCCTGGGTCCAGCTCGGAGCTAGGAGGGGCCTCTCCCACTTGCCCACTTGCTGAAAGGGGTTTGGCTAGCACCCAGATCTGGAGTGTTGACAAGGGCAGTAGCTCACAGGTTGGGTTTGGGAGCAGGAGTGATGGGGACGGTAATTATGAGAGAGATGATTTCAGCTCTGGCTCTGGCATAACAAGTGTAGAGCAGGAACAGAAAAGAAGGAAGGGGGAGACTGAGATGAACCATGGGCTGGTAGGGGTGAGTGTGCTTTGGACTGAGCTGGCACAGGCCAGTGCAGCTACTACCTGAGGGCACACCATTCAGGATGTGTCTTCAGGTACCCTCAGTGGCTCTGTGTTACCTACAGAACAAAGCCCAGAGTCCCCAAGTGGAATACGAGGCCCTTCATAGGTTGATCATAAGTCTTCCTCATAGTGACTCCTCCCCCACACTCTTGGCTCCAGCCACAAGAACCTCCTGCAGTTAATGATGATAATAGTCGTGGCAGTGACACTACCATCAGAGCACTCAATTCCTTCCTATTGCTTTGAGCACTTTGTTTAACTTGATTAACCTTCATCAGGATCCTGTGAAGTGACTACTAATATTATCCCAATTATGTATTTGAGGAAACTGAGACATAGGTGGTCAAACAGCTCATCCAAGGTCACATAGCTAGTAGGGGTATAATAGCCAAGGTTTGGACCCTGGCTGCCTAGGAGGAGATCCTGCACGATTAACCACACCGCCGTCCACTTCTGTGACTACACACTGCACTTTCATAATTCTGTGCCTTTGCATAGCAAGCCCGGGTCACACAGCACCTCCTCTGCCAAGCCATTCCTAATTCTACCCCCTTGTCTTCCAGCTCCTACCCAATCAAAGTCCCACTTGGTCCCCTTAGCAGTTTATAGCCATCTTTGTTATGACAATGAATAATTTAAAATCATAAAACTGTTTACCTTTCTGCCTTCCCACTTGACTGGGGACCCATTTTTTATTTTATTATATTTATTTATTTATTGGCAGCTGGCCGATATGGGGACCTAACCCTTGCTTGACCTTGGTGTTATAATACCGCACTCTAACCAACTGAGCTAACTGACCAGCCCCTGGGGACCCTTTTGAAATCTAACGCCACCCCTCAACCCAGCACTTGTCACAGTGTAGATGCTCAGTTAATGGTCCCTGAATAATGCAAGAACCTGGGGCTGGGCCACACAGCCTGGGGGCAAAGCAAGCTGGGTGGAGCGGTAAACAAGAAATAGAAATAGCACCATTTTTTAAAAAATTGGATTCTCACACTCCAATGAGGCATGTAGAGATGGTTTATTTATTAGACGTCTGAGGCTATTGATTCAATCTTTGGAAACAGAGATAGGAATAGAGTATCCCTGAAATATTTCTGATTTTCACCTACAGAGCTGAGGGAAAAACCCCTAAGTCAGCAACAGCCAATTTTCTAGAAAAATGGAAAAGAACCACAGATATTTGTGAAGTGTCAACTATATCCCTAGCAAAACAGAAGGAAGGGGGTGGGGGTGGGAGGTGTTGTCTGGGAAGAAGTATAAATGGGAAGAAAAGAAATAGGCATGTATAGACCAGGCCCTGAGATTCTGTTACCTTCTTTAATCTTCCTGACAATCCCATGTGGAGGTAGTGGGGTTCCTGTGTTGGAGAGGAGATAGAGGCTCAGCATCTTGCAGAAGGAGCAGGGATTCAAACCAAGGTCTGACCACAGAGCTCAAGCTCTTTCCTCTACGTCCAAGAAAGAGAAGAATTAGAAAAACACAAGACAGTTGTTTATTTCCAGGAGTCTGGTGATACTGAGGAGAGAATAATGGGGCTGAAGGCTTTAGGGGTTCAGAGGAGAGAGTAGCACGGGCAGGGGATGGGAGAGATGGGAGAAGGGAGAAGGGGCATTCCGGCGAACTGAGTGAGCAAAGGCATGTTCAGGGACAGCACCAGCCGGGGTGGATGGGGAGGGTGAGGGGTTGAGATTAGGCAACAGGTGTCCTCAGTGCCACGCTGCAGAGGTTTGACCTCTAGTCATTCGTAACTTCTGAGCAAAAGCTACAGATACCTTGAGGCTGTTAGTCCAGTCCCTTTTCAGAAATTCTGGCACCAAATGTGTTTCAGGATTGAGATTCTTCATGATTTTAGAATGGTAATAACAGGCTGCAATGACACAACTAAACTGCCTGATACAGAGGACTGTCACAAGAACACACAGGGCATCAGCCTAAATGAGAAGGCCCTAGGACAGATCACAGCTTGCAGCAGGGCAGCGTCAGGCATTCTGTTTCTGCAGAAGTCCTTGGAGCGTCCATACAGAGGTCCTGGAAAGTGACAGCTCGGGTGTAAAGAGATAAGATTCACATCGGGTGGGTGTAGGAACTGCTCTGGCCTAAGTGAAGTCTCATTTCCCACAGAGGCTGGTGTCTCTTGTAAGAATGTCATGGACATAGCTGCCAGAGTCCCCCCAAAATATCACCATACTCAGGGAAACCTGAAGCCATGGATTCCCAATTTACAGTTCTTCCCAGACCAGATTCAGTTTTCCATTCTGGATCGTTTTTACCATAAGTCGCGTTGCCTGGTTGCAGTGTAGTTGCCACACTACCTTTTTCTGGTCTCTAGGTGAACAGGTTAACAGGAAGTTAATTGATCCTCATGCTCAAGAGAAAAGAATTTTTTAACCCTTTACCCACATGTGCATATACCATGTATTCAATAACCCCTCTAGTGGGGTGGTATCCCATACTGAGACACATTAATATTCCTGCAGCAAAATGTATCATCCATAACAGAAAGTGGTATAAGTAGACTAAACCAATCTCACATCAGCTCAGATCAGGTTTTGTACCAAATGAGCGAAGAAAAAAAAATATCTTTCAGAGTTCAGAGCTTTTAGAATTTAGTATTATTTTGGAAGGGGATTGTAGACCTGTGAATTTCCCCTCCTTCGGAAATTCCTTGAGACATGGAGGGAGATAAAGTTGCCTGTCATACCACTAGAGGGCCCCTGATTATCATTTTGTCCGGGATCCTTGCTAATAGAGGTTTTCCCTCACTTTAGCTTGCAGATGCCAACAAGTTACCTAACCTGAAAGAACTTCTCCAGTCCTCCGGAGACAAAGACAAACGGGCCTGGGACCTGGTGAGCTGGATTTTATCCTCCAAGGCCCTGACAATCCACAGTGCAGGGAAGGCAGAGGTGAGACTCTGGTCTGTAGGATCACAGATTCCAAGGGCTGAAAGGCTTGGAGACAGCTTCAAATCCAGTGGCTCTGAGACCTCCCTGTGCACCAGAATGACCTGGGAAGCTTGTTGGACATGCAGATTCCTGGACCTCACCCTCAGATTCTGATTCTGTGTCTGGAGTCAGGCCCAGGAACTTGCACACTTCCAGTATAGAGCTAGGTTCTGCCTCTTACTAGGTGTGTGACTTGAGCAGCTTACTGGGTACATTTCAATACCTCAGTTTCCTCATTTGTAAAATGGGATAATACTGATAATTGTATACTTCCATGGGGAACTGGCTGTGAGAATTGAGTGAAGGTTTACACTTAGAACAATGCCTAAGGGTACAAACTAAGGGCTCAGTAAATGTTAAGTATCACTTTATTTAACAAGCACTGCAGGTTATTCTGATAAGGGTGGACCCTGACCACACCTTAAGAAACATTGGCTTAGTCCAGTTGGCAGGAAACAGAAGCAGAACCTGAAGTAGTGGAGAACCTCAGTCTCTAGGTTCAAATCCCACTTCCATCCATTATCAAGTCTCCTTTTTCCCATTTGTAAACTGAGATTATTAATAGTTATCTCGAAGGAAAGTTATGATTGAATATAGAATGTGTGTCAATCTCCAGCACAGTCTCTGGCACAAATCAGTTATTGCATAATTTGGTTTATGTTACCTAGCTGGGGTCTCCCAGAGATAGGCTGGGATAACAAGGTCCAGAGTATAGGACTTGATTCCTGATGTGCTGCTCTTTCCTCGAGTGACAGCAGGGGTTTATCTGTATGGTTCTTCATTTAATTGATGCACATCAGTTTAAGAGCATTTAATTTTTCAAGCTCTTGCTAAAGAAAAAATCCTCCCTAAGTGGTTTCGAATTTGGATTCTGGTGCCTAAGGGACATCCATTTGTGTTAAATGGTAAATTAACAGAGCCCTGGAGTGGGAGTCAGGAGATCCATAATTAGCCCTGATCCCAGTCAGATCTGGGTTGCTAATTTCTAGATGATGTCTGGGTTTTACTTTTGTCATTTCTTGAGTTGAAATTTATTCATTTTTCATTTATACCTCATGGGCATCAAGCACCTATTAGATGTTGGGTGCTATAGCTAATGTAGATAAGGCAATGACTACTTTTGATTATGGATCAATTAAATATCCATTAAAATTGGATAGAGGTCATTATCCAGGATTGTCAGCTTTTTATTTTGCCCAAGTAAGGATGTTGGCCTACCATGTATCATCCTTTCATAAAAATATATTATAATACTAAAAAAAGAGGATGGTTCTGACCTCAGAATAAAGGACAGTTTTTCCAAAGAAAGGATTATGGCAACCTTACATCATTATAAATATACCTGTAACATTGCCTTTATTTTTCTCATTCAATCATTAACCCAGAGAAAATTTTGCCACAGACTGGCTTTGCTCTGTGACCTACTGTTTGACAACCACGGAAATGATGTAATCTCTGTGTGAAGAGGATTATTGTCCTTGAGGAAGCTTACCCTTCTGTATCAACTAGCTTTTGCTGAATAATAACAAACCATCCCCAAAATTCAGTGGCTTAAAATGATAAATACTGGGCTGGCCCATGGCTCACTCGGGAGAGTGCGGTGCTGATAACACCAAGGCCACGGGTTTGGATCCCTAT